CACCTCTGCAAGACGCTCAGGCTCTAGATTCTTAGCCAGAAAGATAGCCTGCCTGATCATGCCTGATGATCTTCCATCTTGACCTCATCATGAACAGGGAAGATTGCAACAGTCTCATGCATAACATCATTCGCTGACGATAACGTCGATCAAACAACTGTGCTTTACCAACACCGTGTTTATTTGATATCGAAGCAACCCTCGCAGCATACTCATTGAGTATTACTCACAGACATGTATCAAGTCACCCTTACCCTCAAGAACATATATAGTGAAGACCCACCGCAACATCAATCATTGATGATCAATGGAAGCCATTGCTCAAAGGTATTAGGAGGTTTCCCCGTGGGAAGTTTCGCAGTCTCCACAGCTTGACCATCTCGAGTAAACTGTATAACAGACTTGCTGGCCGGCGCGGTGATCTCAGGATGAGTCTTAAATTCAATAAATAAATATCTATCTCGATACAAGACCTCCGCAACATGCGGAAGAGGAACCAGTTCATTATTGGGTAAACAACCAAATAACTGTGCAGCTGACACGAGTATCGCATCCACAGAGAACTTCGCCTTTACCACATCCTTTTTTTGAGAAGCAGCGGCAATCAACGCAGCTCTGAGTCTTGCTCTTCTCAGTCTTTCAGCGATAATATCAGCCTGAGGCTGTTCGGCATCATTATCCAATACAGCACCCATAACGACAGCACAAGCAACAACCATTTCTCCCAACAACTCGGCATCATCAACCGCTGCCTTCAACGTTCTCAAAGAGTTAACCGAGAAGGGTGGTTGAGCTAATATCTCAACTATGGTCCCAGACAGATCTGGAGCACTTGAAAACGTCGACATCAACAACGGTTCATCCTAATTTTAAAACAAAGAAAAGGAACCTAAAGACAAAGGATAAACAAAATACGAGGGCAATTCAAGCATAACGCCACTCAGAGGCGGCTGGAACTCGAAATCGCCATGAAGATGAATCAAACAAAATAAACGAGCAGTAAAGCGAAAGAATAATAACACTTATGATAAACATGTATGTGATTAAAAATCATCACGATTACTTAGTACGCGAAAAGTTAGTAGTTTACACGAATATAGCGTCGCACCACCCTAATCGACCGACTTGACAATGGTACCCTTTATCCACCACACAACACATTTACCCCTAATTAGGGATCGACCATCCAACCACACATGGATTCCGACAACTGTCGACCGCAAACTCGTTCAACACCGAGCAAACTCCCCCAACACGGGGACACATCCATTAGTGCACCAAACAGGTAACTAACCAACCACTACCGCAACACAAGACAACTTCAAATGAACAGTAAACAGAACATACATGTGCATAACTTACCATACATATGTATGTTGGACCAATACCATAATCGGACCCATTCAGTTGGATTGAAATAACAAGATTTAGAGACGTGACAAACGAGAAGCAAACCAACAAAGCAATAACAAATTGTACA